CTTCCTTCCGAGGAGTGGCTGGTGGGTTTGAACCGCCAGCCTTCTGGTTAGCAGTCAAGTGCCTTAGGCACTAAGCTACCAGAGCTCCTAGACCCAGCCTAGTCATGTAGAATCTCCAGCAATTCAGTCTCCACTTGGGATCCAGTTTACTCATGTGCAAACGAAGAAATAACTTAAAATGTTACCCATTTATTGCCAGCTGGTGACTACAGTGACACTTTGTGGGTTCAAATCCCAGCTCTGCCATTTGCAAGTTCTATGACCTGAAACTAATTAGCCTCTCAGGCCTCAGTTTGAATGTGCAGATTGAAAACTAATAACAGGTCCTGCTCCAAAGTTGAGTATTTAGTGAACTGATAACATACAAAGTACTTAAGAAAGGGCCTGACACGTGGTAAGTCATAATAATGTTATGTAAGTGTTACAGATACATATCTTTTATACCAACTTATATGTGTAAACATATAATGTATATTTTTATACATATTATATATGTAACATGTATATTATGTGTGTATATTATATGCACATAATATATATGGAGTCCCTGGGTGATGCAAAAGGTTAGAGGTTTGAGTCCACCCAGAGGCCCTTCAGAAGAAAAACTGGGCAATCTACTTATAAGAAACCAGTCACTAAAAACCCTATGGAGTACAGTTCCACCCTGATACATATGGGGTTGCCATGAGTCAGGATCAACTCAACAGCAATTGGTTTTGGTTATATATTATATATGCACCTATAATTCCAGGATGATGATTCCAATCCTTTTGGCATTTGTTGGCTGTATGACCTTGAGCAGTTTAGCTTCTCCAGGCCTGTTTCCTTAACTGCAAAATGGAGATATTACTTCTTGTTCCCAAACTGAATTTTAAATAAGTTAATAACAGGTAGAAGGAACCCTAGTAGTGTGGTGGTTAAGAGCTTGGCTGCTAATGGAAAGGTTGGGGGTTCGGCAGTTTGAACCCACCTACTTCTCTGTGGAAGAAGCAGTCTTCTCTGGTAAATATTACAGCCTTGGTAAGCCTATGGGGCAGTTCTACTCCATCCTAAAGGGTTGCTGTGAGTCAGAATCGATTCGATGTCAGTGGGTTTTGGGGGAATAACATGTAAAGTGCTTAGAAAAGGGCTTGTCGTATAGTAAAGGTTATATAAAGTGTTTTCTGTATCATATAATTACATAAAGGCCATATTTTTATATTTTAATATGAAAGTATATGTATTTATACCTGTGTATTTATACATATGGGGGGCTCTGGTGGCATAGTGCCTAAGGCATTTGACCGCTAACCAGAAGCCTGGCGGTTCAAACCCACCAATCACTCCTTGGAAGGAAGGTTGGGCAATCTACTTCCCTAGTGATACCACCGGGGGAACCCAAGGAGGGGTCGTTATGAGTTGGATCTGACTCGAGGGCAGTTTTGTGTATACATATGTTGTTGTTATTTGTTGTTATGTGCCGTCGAGTCA